ACAAGTGCCCACCACCACGCCCAGCTAATTTTTGTATTTTTAGTACAGATGGGGTTTCAACACGTTGGCCAGGCTGGTCTCGAATACCTGGCCTTGTGATCCACCCACCTTGGCCTCCCAAAGTGCTGAGATTACAGGTGTGAGCCTCTGTGCCTGGACTCTTTTTTTCTTAGTGTGACTAAAGGTTTTTTGATTTAGTTTATGTTTGCAAAACACCAGTTTTTAATTTCATTGATTTTTTTTTGTATTTTTAAATTTCAATTTTACTAATTTTTTGCTCTGATCTGAGTTCTTTCTTTTCCTCTACCAATTGTGCATTTCATTTGCTTTTGTCTTCCTTATTTGTTAAGATGCATCTTTAGGTTGCTTATTTGACATATTTCTACCTTTTTGATATAGGTATTTATTGTTTTAAATGTCCTTTTTTGTACTGCTCTTTCTGTGTTATGGAGATTTTGGTCTATTGTGTTTTCACTCCCACATGTTTCATGAAATTTAAAAATTTCCTCATTTTTTCATTGGCAAACTGGTCAATCAGGAACATATTTTTACTTTCCATGTGTTTGCTTAGTTTCCAAAGTTTTTCTTCATATTGATCTCTAGTTTTATTTCATTATGATCAGAGAAGATACTCGATGTTATTTTAATTTTTTTGAACTTTTTGAGACTTGTTTTGTGGTCTAACTTATGATCTATCCTGGAGAATATGCCGGGCACTGATGAGAAGAATGTGTATTCTGGGGCTGTTGGATGAAATGTTTTATAAATATCCATTTGTTCTATAGAGCAGTTTAAGTCTGATGTTTCTTTGTTGATTTTCTCCTGGATGAATACCCCAGGGCTGAAAGTGAGGTTTTGAAGTCCCCAGTTATTATTGTATAGGCATCTATCCTTCTTTTTAATTTTAATAATATTTGTTTTATATAGCTGAGTGCTCCAGCATTGGGTGCATATATATTTACAATTGTTATATCCTGTTGCTGAATTGACTCCTTTGATATTATATAATGACCTTTGTCTCTTTTTATAGTTTTTGTCTTGAATCCTGTTTATTTATGCATAACTACTCTTGTTCTCATTTGGTTTTCATTTGCATGGATTATCTTTTTCTTTTTTAAAAAATTTTACTTTATGTTCCGGGATATAAGTGCAGAAATGTATAGGTTTGATACATAGGTATACGTGTGCCATGGTGGTTTGCTGCACCTGTCAATGCATCATCTAGGTTTTCAGCCCCGTGTGTGTTAGCTATGTGTCCTAATGCTCTCCCTCCCCTTCCCCTCCACCCCACAGTTGGCCCTGGTGTGTGTTCCGCAATATCTTTTTCTTTTTTTTTTCTTTTTTTTCTTCTTTTTGGTCTGCGTATCTTTATAGATGAAGTTAGCGTATTGTTTTTGTTTTTTTAATCCATTCATCCACTTTGTCTTTTATTGGAAATTTAGTCCATTTATATTCAATGTTATAAGGTACAGGCTTACTAGTGCCATTTTGTTATTTATTTTCTGGTTGTTTTGTTGGTTCTCTCTTTCTTCCTTTCTTCTCGTCTTCCTTTGTATAAAAGTGACTTTTTCTGACAGGTTTTAATTTATTATTTAAAACTTTTTTTGGGCCGGGTGCATTGCCCCACGCCTGTAATCCCAGCACTTTGGAAGGCAGAGGTGGGCAGATCACGAGGTCAGAAGATTGAGACCGTCCTGGCTAACACGGTGAAACCCCATCTGTACTAAAAAATACAAAAAAAATTTAGCGAGGTGAGGTGGTAGGCTCCTGTAGTCCCACCTACTCGGGAGGCTGAGGCCAGAGAATGGTGTGAACCTGGAAGGTGGAGCTTGCAGTGAGCCGAGATTGCGCGACTGCACTCCAGCCTGGGCGACAGAGTGAGACTCCGTCTCAAAAAAAAAACCCAAAAAAATCCAACTTTTTTTTGTATCCGATATAGGTTTTTGTTTTGTGATTACTGTGAGGCTTGCAAATAACATCTTATAACCAATTATTTCAAGCAGATGACAGCTTAACTCTGACTACAATGAAAATAAAAAAATAAATAAGCAAAAAGAAAACAAACAAAAAACCCAAAACTACACCTTCACCCCATTTCTTCACTTTGTCACTTCTTTTTTTTTTTTTTTGAGACGGAGTCTCACTCTGTCACCCAGGCTGGAGTACAGTAGCGTGATCTCGGCTCACTGCAATCCCCGCCTCCCAGGTTCAAGTGATTCTCCTGCCTCAGCCTTCCAAGTAGCTAGGACTACAGGCACCCACCACCACGCCCGACTTTTTTTTTTTTTTTTTTTGTACTTTTAGTAGAGATGGAGTTTCACCATGTTAGCCAGGATAGTCTCGATCTCCTGACCTCGTGATCTGCCTGACTTGGCCTCCCAAAGTGCTGGGATTACAGGCTTGAGCCACCGTGCCCGGCTGCTTTGTCACTTTTGATTGTCTCTATTTATATCTTTTTATGCTCAGAAAGCTGTTTCAGTTACTATTTTTGATAGGTTTGTCTTTTAATCTTCCTACTAATATATGAGTGTTTTAACACTATAGTTACAGTGTTATTCTGTATTCATCTGTTCATTTACCACTACCACTGAGTTCTATACCACCATGTGATATATATTTTTTACATTAATGTGCTTTTCTTTCAGATTGAAGAACTCTCTGTAGCATTTTTTGCAAGACAGGTTTGGTGTTGATGAAACCCCTCAGCTGTATTTGTCTGGGAGAGTATTTCTCTTTCATGTTTGAAGGATAGTTTTATTGGAAATAATATTCTAGTTCAAAAGTTGTTTTTCTTAAACACTTTGACTATGTCATCTGCCTCTCTCTGGGCCTCTAAGTTCCCTGCTGAGTTGTCTCCTGCCAGACATATTGTTCTTTATATGTTCTTTATATATGTTCTTTGCTTTGTATGTTCTTTATATGTTCTTTGCTTCTTTTCTTTTTCTGCTTTTAGGATACTTTCTTTATCCTCGACCTTTGACAGTTTGATTAATATATTAATTCAGTTAGTCTTATTTGGGTTGAATCCTTTTGGTGTTGTGTGATCTTCTAATACCTTAATATTCATATCTTTTCCTAGGTTTTGAAAGTTTTCTATCAGTATTTCACTGAATAAACTTCCTACCCTACCTCTCTATCTCTACATCCTCTTTAAAGCCATTAACTCTTAGATTTGCCCCTTTGAGGCTATTTTCTAGATCTTGTAGAAAAGCTTCATTCTTTTTAAATTGTTTTTCTTTTCTCTCCTCTGACTGTGTATTTTTATATAGCCTGTCTTCAGGTTCACTAATTTTTTCTTTTTCTTGATCGATTCTACTGTTGAGAGACTGAGACATTTTTGAGTTTGTCAGTTGAATTTTTCAGCTGCAGAACTTCTGTTTGAAATTTCAAAAACGATTTTAATCTCTTTGTTAAATTTCTCTGGTAGAATAATGAATTTCTTCCCTGTGTTATCTTTTAAGTTTGTTGAGCTTCCTCAAGACAGCTCTTTTGAATTCTCTGTCTGAAAGGACATATATCTTCGTCTTTCCGGGATTGGTCACTGGTGTCTTCTGTAGTTCATTTAATGAGGTCATGTTTTCCTGGATACTCTTGATGCTTGTGGACATTCATCACTTATGGGCATTGACAAATTAGGTATTTATTTGTCTGTGTAGTCTGGATTTGTTTGTACCCTTCATTCTTGAGAAGACTTTTCATGTATTCAAATGGGGTTGAGTGTTGTGCTCTAAGAATGTGGTCCTTACGGGCTAAAGGAGGTGCTCTAAGCCCAGGAATAATGCAGTTCTTGCTGACATCTAGAGGCGCTGCCTTGATGAGTTTGGGTAAGGTAAAGGAGAATTCCTTGGGTTGTCAGGCAAAGTCCTCTTGATGTCTTCCCTTTACTCCTTCCAATCAGAAGTAGTCTCTCTGCTGGGCTGCCTAGAGCACTTCTGTGGCTTCCACAACTGGCACTGTGCTGGGTCATACCTGAAGCCTGTACAATACTGGATCTTGCCTGGTTACTGCTGATGTTTATTCAAGGCCCAAGGGCTCTTTAGTGATCAGGTGAATCCTGCCAAGACTGGGTCCTTCTCTTCAGGGCAGTGGATTCCCTTTGAATGAGGGTGGGTCTAGAAATCCCCTTCAGGAACTAAGTCCTGGAATTGATAGCTTCAGGAATCTCCTTGGTGCTTTACTTTGGCTGACCTGGTACCCAAATTGCAAGACAGTCTTCTATACTCTTCCCACTTCTTTCCTTAAGCTAAAGGAGTCTCTCCCAAAGCTGTACTTCCTGGAGTTGGGTGCAATGTGATCCAGCCACTCCCCTGGCTGCCACAGCTGGTGTCACACTTGGTCACACATCCCAAGTCTACTGCCTCCAAGTCCAGCGCAGCACCACAGCTTGCCTGAGGACTGCAGTACTTGTGGCCTGACAGCCAATTAAGCTTATTCTGGGCACGAGGCCACTTTAGTTAGCCAGAGGTGAGGTCAGTTGGGACTCAGGTTCTTCCTGCTGAGACTGAGAATTCTGTCTTGCCCAGGGCTGATCTAAATGCTCCCTCTTTGGGTGCTAGCAGAATTCTTCTCTGTTTTGTGTTTTGCTGTAACATGGCAGCACTGAGTTCCAGTGCAAAGACCCACACTCACTTCACCCTCCCTCCCCCAAACAGTTTTTCTCTCTCCATACTGGGAGGGATCCTGTAGGCAATGCAAGACTGTCTTTCCTGTGCTCTTCAATTCCTCTATCCCTGATGTTATGTGAAAACCAGGTACTGTGATTTTCAGGTACTCACCTGAATTTTCTGGGTTCTTATGAAGGTGTTTATTGCATAGATAGTTGTTCAATTTGGTGTAAGATCATGGAAGGGTTCTATTTGGCCATCTTGCTCTGCTTTCTTTTATTTTTATTTACTGTTAAAACCTGGCTCATGATCAGTTTTTTCCTGTATGTAAACTTTCTTGAGGTGCTTTTGTTTTATATATTAGCAATGATTAAAAAAGCTTTCTCTTTTTTCTAGGAGAGCATATAGATTACTGTGGATATTCTGTTCTTCCTATGGCTATAGAACAAGATGTGCTAATAGCTGTAGAACCTGTGAAAACATATACTCTCCAACTGGCCAATACAAATCCCTTGTATCCGTGAGTATTTAAAATTGCTAATTTGTCTGTATGTATGGTTCTGTTTGTACCCAAATGAACTCTTTAGGAGACATCAGATTTATAACAAATCATTTAATTTGTTGATATTTTGTACCTGACATTAAAAAAATTCTAAGGCCATTATTTATTGTTTGTTCATTTTGTTCATTTGTCAATTAATTTAAGGGATATTTACCAAAGACTTACCATGTGATAGACATAGTCTTAGATACCAGGTGATACAAAGATAAATAACTCTGTCCTTGTGCGATAGGTACTTATCATCTATTGATCTAATTATCTCCAGCAAAGTAAGGTGTGTTTTCCTATGTTACTATGGCAGCTTCTAAGTATCTTGTCATAGCATCTTACTATGCTGTATTATTATTATCTGTTTATTTACCTGTGTCACCCAGTAGACAGTAAACTATGTGACTTCAGGCACTGTTGCCTCTCTTCTTCAATGCCCTAGCATATAAAACAGAGTCTGATGCCTAATAAAGGTAACTTTCTAGTACATATGCTTTATCAAGTTAACAAAGTCTTTAAAAAAAAAATCTTAGTTTGCTAAGATTAAAAAAGTTTACTAATGGGTATTGAATTTAATTAAATGTCTATTTAGTATTGAAGATCAGTTTTTTAAAAATATGGTGAATTAGTCTGATGAAGTTTTTAATGTTGAGCCCTTTGCATTTCTAGGATAAACTCTACTTGCTTTTAATGTATTATAATGGATTTGACTTGATCATACAGAAAAAGATTTTGGCTTACGTTTGGCATATTATATGTTTGGCTTGTTCATTGGTTAGTTTATCTGCAATAACATTCATTTATTCAGAAAATATTTTTGATGAGACTCTATACCAGCTTGTGCAAGATGTAGAAGTTTTTTACTTTTATATGGAACTTATTGTAGGAGATCTTTTTTTCCTTTTCATTTCACATGTCTGATAATATATCTTGTGTGCATTTTGGACCCTTGAAAAGCTCACATTATCTCAAACATATTTTTGTGTCATTGTTTACGAACATTTAAAAACCAGTGCATAATATTTTGTCATCTTGATTTAGTAAAATTTACTTAATCATTCCCACAATAATGAATGTGTGGTTTCAGTTTTGTTTTTCACAAAAATAGATCCTGAGACAGACCTAGATGCAGGTAGTATATTTGAGAAATGGTCCCAGGAGCAGTAGGAAAGAGCATGAAGAATGAGTTGGGCAATTAGAGGTGAATTATCAGGATATATAGTCCCTGCTAGAGGCAGGAGGCTTGAATCTGCTAGGACCCCTAGGAAGCATGTAGTATGCCTCCTAGAATTGTCCATTTGTTTTAGCATTCATTGTGTAGGTATATCTTGTTTATCTATTTACCAATAACGGACATTTAGATCATTGCCAGTATTTGCCTGTATGAATAATACTGCTACAAATATTTATGTACAAATGTATGTGTGGACATGTTTCATTTCTGTTGGGTAAATACCTAAGACTGGAGTGTCTGGTTTGCCATTTATTTATTTATTGAGACAGGGTCTCACCCTCTTGCTTAGCCTGGAGTGTAGTGGGGTGATCTCAGCTCAACTCAACCTTTGCCTCCTGGGTTCAAGAGATTCTCCCGCTTCAGTCTCCTGAGTAGCTGGGACTACAGGCACATACCATCACACCTGGCTAATTTTTGTATTTTTTGGTGGAGATGGGATTTCACCATGTTGACCAGGCTGGTCTTGAACTACTGACCTCAAGTGATCCACTTGCGTCAGCCTCCCAAAGTGCTGGGATTACAGGTTTGAGCCACTGCATCCATCCTGGTTTGCCTTTGATACGGTTTGGTGGTGTCCCCACCCAAATCTAATCTTGAATTTTAACTCCCACAATTCCCACGTGTCCTGGGAGGAGCCTGATGGGAGGTAATTGAATCATGGGAGCGGGTCTTTCCCATGCTGTTCTTGTGATAATGAATAAGTCTCATGAGATCTGATGGTTTTAAAAATGGAAGTTTCCCTGCACAAGCTCTCTTTTTGCCTGCCATCATCCATATAGGACGTGACTTGCTCCTCCTTGCCTTCTGCTATGATTGTGAGGCTCCTGCAGCCATGTGGAACTGTAAGTCCATTAAAGGTCTTGCTTTTGTAAATTGCTCAGTCTCAGGTATGTCTTTATCAACAGCATGAAAATGAACTAATATAGCCTTTTAAAGAAATTTTCTGGCTGGGCACAGTGGTTCACGCCTGTAATCCCAGCATTTTGGGAGGCCGAGGTGGTTGGATTGCTTGAGCCTGCGAGTTCGAGACCACCCTTGGCAGCATGGTGAAAGCCTGTCTCCACTAAAAATACAAAAAGCTTAGTTGGGCATTGTGGCATGCACCTGTAATCCCAGCTACTCAGGAGGCTGAGGAAGGAGAATTGCTTGAACCTGGGAGGTGGAGGTTGCAGTGAGCCAAGATTGCGCCACTGCACTCCAGCCAGGGTGACAGAGCGAGACTCTGTCTCAGAAAAAAAAAAAAAAAAAAAAAGAAATTTTCTGCTTGCCAAAGTTGTGTAATTTTACACTTTCATCAGTGGTGTTACCAGCATGTTTTTAAATTTTAGCTCTTCTCCTAAATGTGTAGTAGTATATTTCAAGTTTTTAAATTTCTCTGACTAATGATGTTGAACATCTTTTCATCTACTTATTTGCTACCTAGATGTATTCTTTGTTGAAGGGTCTTTTCAAATCATTTTCCTATTTTTGAGTTTCTTATAGATATAAGCCTCTTTTTTTTGAGACAAAGTCTTGCTCTGTCATTTCTGTATTGGGACATTACAGGTCCTCTCTTCTAGCTATTTTGAAATATACAATACATGGTTGTTAACTACAGTCACCCTACTCTGCTATAGACCATTATAACTTATTCCTTCTATCTAACCTTATGTTTTTACCTATTTGCCAACTTCTTTTTATCCCCCATTCACTGACCCTTCCTCGCCTCTTTTATCTATCATTCTACCCTGTTCCTTCATGAGATCAATTTTTTAAGTTCCCACATATGAGTGAGAATATCTGATGTTTGTTTTTTCTGTACCTGGCTTATTCCATCAACATTGTTCCAAATGCCATGATTTTATTTTATTTTTTTATGGCTGAATAGTATTCCATTGCATATATATACATTTTCTTTATTTATTCATCTGTTGTTGGGCACTTAGGTTGATTCCCTGTCTTTGCTATTGTGAATGGTACTGGAATAAACATGGAGTGCAGGTATCCTCCTGATATACTGATTTCTTTTCCTTTGGATAAATACGCAGTGTTACGGTTGCTGGATCATATGGTAGTTGTGTTTTTAGTGCTCTGAGAAATCTCCCTACTGTTTTCTGTAATGGCTGCACTAATATACATTCCCACCAACAGTGTGTAAGTGTTCCCTTTTTTCTGTGTCCTTATCAGCATCTGTTATCTTTTGTCTTATTAGTAATGGTCATTCTAACTTGGGTAAGATGATGTCTCATTGTGGTTTTGATTTCCATTTTGCTGATGATTAGTGATGGTAAGCAGTTTTTCATATACCTATCTGCCGTTTGTATGGATGTCTTTGGAGAAATGTCTCTTCATGTCATTTGTCCACCTTTAAGTGGGATTATTATTAGTTTTTACTATCGAGTGTTTTGAGTTCCTTGTGTATTCTGGATATTAGTTCCTTGTTGGATGAATAGTTTGCAAATATTTTCTTCCATTCAACAGGTTGTCTCCCCACTCTGTTAATTGCTTCCTATGTGGGCAGAAGCTTTTTAGTTTAAAACAGTTTTATTTATTTATTTCTGTTTTGTTTTCTGTACTTTTGAGATCTTAGCCATGAAATCTTTGGCTATATCCTGAAGTGTTCCCCCTATACTTCTTTCTAGTTGTTTTATAGTTGTAGGTGTTATGTTTAAGTCTTTAACCTATCTTGGATTGAATTTTGTATATGATGAGAAATAGGGGTTCAATTCATTCTTCTGCGTATGGGTATTGAGTTTTCCCAGCGCCATTTATTCAAGAGAGTTTTCTTTCCTGAATGTATTTTCTTGATACCTTTGTTGAAAATGAGTTTGCTGTCCAGGCGCGGTGGCTCATGCCTGTAATCCCTGCACTTTGGGAGGCCGAGGTGGGCAGATCACCTGAGGTCAGGAGTTCAAGACCAGCCTGGCCAACATGATGAAACCCTGTCTCTATTAAAAATACAAAAAATTAGCTGGGTGTGGTGTTGCGCGCCTATAATCCCAACTACTCAGGAGGCTGAGGCAGGATAATTGCTTGAACCCAGGAGGCGGAGGTTGCAGTGAGCCAAGATCACGCCACTGAACTCCAGCCTGGGCAACAAGAGCAAAAAACTCTGTCTCAGAGAAAAAAAAAAAAAAAAAGAGAAAATGAATTTGCTGTACATACATGGATGTATTTTTGGGTTCTCTCTTCTATCCCATTAGTATTTGTGTCTGTTTTGATACCAATACCTTGCTGTTTTGGTTTTTATAGCCTTGTAATGTATTTTGAGGTCAGATAGTGTGATGCCTCTTGCTTTGTTCTTTTTGCTCAGGAGTGCTTTGGCTATTTGGGCTCTTTTTGTTTGGTTTTATACATATTTTAGGATTTTTTTCTATTTTTGTGAAAATGACAGGAGTATTTTCATAGGGATTGCATTCAATTTGCAGATTGCTTTGGCAGTATGTTCATTTTAACAATATTAATTTTTTCAGTCCATGAACATGGGATGTCTTCATTTGTGTCCTCTTCAATTTCATTCATCAGTGTTTTCTGGTTTTCCTGAGAGATCTTTCATCTCCTTGGTTAAATTTATTCTTAGGATGTTTTTTGTTTTGGAGCTATTGTAAACAGGATTTCTGGGCTAATTTGTTTCTCAGCTAGTTCATTATTGGTGTATTGAAATGCTGCAAATTTTTGTATGTTGATTTTTTATACTGCAACTTTACTGAATTTGTTTATCAGAGTTTTTTTTTTAGAGTCTTTAGCTTTTTCTGGA